AAAGTTAAATTTAAAAAAATAAAAAATATATGTTCATTTAAAAAGTCAACTAATTTTGTTATTTATCATTATCTAGTATTATTTTTATAATTTCAATAATATAATCGCAAATGATAATCCTTTTAAACAGATACATATATAGTCATATACACAATGGGCAAAAATTTCTAGAGTGATAAAAGTGTTGATGCAAAGTCCTCAACAACTTCATACACATTCTAAAAGCAGTCACATATCAAATAAAAGCATACATTTAGACTATGTGCAATAACTGCCAAAGACTTATTTTAAGCAAATCATACTTCAGAGTCACATGCTTTCAACCTAGATAAAGTTGCAAAATTGGAAACAATGCTTCTAACACTCTGAGGCTCAGTCTTTGAAAAACTATCTTTGCTGTTTTGAACCTGCTTTTGGAAGGCAAAGGGCATAAAAATATATAAAGGGTTATCAGGAAGTTATTTCATATAAGAACACTACTCAGCATGTATAACCAGCAAATTTAAGAAATCAGTTTGGTCATTAGGAAAATACAAATTAAAGCCACAATGAGATACTACTTAACATCGACTAAAATGGCTATAATAAAAAAGACATTAACAATTATCAATGAGAATACTGAGAAATCGGAACCTTCACACTCTGCTGGTTAGAATGTAAAAAGGTGCAACAGCTCTGGAAAGCAGCTTGCAATTTCTTAAAGCAATAAACATAAACTTGTCATACAGCCCAGTGGTTCCACTTCTAGGAATCTACCCAAGAGAAATGAAAACATCTGCCCACACAAAGCCTGGTATGTGGACATTCATAGCAGCATTGTCCATAACAGGCAAACATGGCAAACCCAAATGTCCACCATGGAATGCTATTCAGCAATAAAAAGGAAAAAAATACTAATACATTCTGCAATATGGATAAACCTCAAAAACATACAAAGTAAAAGAAGCCAGAAGCAAAAGACTATGCAGTGTATCATTCATTTACATAAACTATCCAGAAAAAGCAGCAAAATAAATTTCTAACTACATCACCATTTATCGAGCACCGGTATATTCCAATACTTTATATCTTAAGGGAGAAACTTACTGGCAACCTTCAACATCAATGACTATCACCTTGTCTTATATTTCCAAATTTTACTTGATACAGTTTCAACCAAAGAAATATATTAGTTGTGACACTCAACAGTGCTCAGGATTTGTCTAGTTTATATGCAGTCACATGCTTTGTTAATCTCTCTCCTGCTGCTTTACTTGGACCATTTTAATTCTCAGTTAGTATCCCCACTCAAAATGAGAAAGGGAGGAGAAAATAATTGTCAAACTCTGTAATACAGCAATTAATGGTGATAAAAGCTTAAATAACAAAATACTTTTTTAAAATGTGTACTTCAGTGATCCATGGAACCAGGAGTTGGCTATAAAAAACAAGATTCATTCTAATTTCTCCCAACTCCCTTAAGGAATACAGAAAAAGATACTTTGTCCCAGGGACTCAAGAAGTAAGGGTTAATATACAGTAGGCTTCTAAGAGCATATGTGTTTGCGAACGTTTGTTTTCTTCTAAACTCTAAATTCGTTTTGACAATAGAATGAAAATTTGTTTTTAGTGTAGTATCCAGGCCCTTTCTGGTAAGTAATTAAAGACCTCAAACTATAACTGAGGGGCTTCCCTGGTGGTGTAGTGGTTAAGAATCCGCCTGCCAATGCAGGGGACACAGGTTTGAGCCCTGGTCCGGGAAGATCCCACACGCCACGGATCAACTAAGCCGGTGCGCCACAACTACTGAGCCCGTGCTCTAGAGCCCTCGAGCCACAACTACTGAGCCTGCGTGCCACAACAACTGAAGCCCGCACACCTAGAGCCCATGCTCCACAACGAGAAGCCACTGCAATGAGAAGCCCGTGCACTGCAACGAAGAGCATGCCCCACTCACCACAACTAGAGAAAGCCCATGCGCAGCAACGAAGACCCAACACAGCCAAAAATAAAGAAATAAAATAAATTAAAACAAAATTAAAACAAAATCTATAACTGAATTGCAAGGTTAGGAATAAAATTTTTTTTTTAAAAAAAGGAAAGAGGTTAAAGAAAATTCAGAAAATCTGAATGGATTTGCTGAGCCAGAACACTAAAATAAATTCTACTTAGTCCAGAAAAGAGCTATTTTGTAAAATAAAATGGTTTCCTGCATTATGCTTTTCTGTAAGACTGGTTAGTACTGTGCATTTTAAACTGTACTATTGAGATTCAACAAAAGATAAAGCAAGGAATCTTAAAAGGTACAGTCTAACACTTTAATTAGAAGACTCATAATAAAAGGTGCTAAAAACCAAGAAAGAGGTTAAATGTTTCTCTATCTGTATCAGCCTTTTTAAAATAAATTTATTTATTTTTTTATTTTTGGCTGTGTTGGGTCTTCGTTGCTGCACGTGGGCTTTCTCTAGTTGGGGTGAGCGGGGACTACTCTTCGTTGTGGCGTGTGGGCTTCTCGTTGTTGTGGCTTCTCTTGTTGCAGAGCACAGGCTCTAGGCGCACGGGCTTCAGTAGCTGGGGCATGCGGGCTTCTGTAGTTGTGGATCACGGGCTCAGTAGTTGTGGCGCACGGGCTTAGCTGCTCCGCGGCATGTGGGATCTTCCCGGACCAGGGCTCAAACCCGTGTCCCCTGCATTGGCAGGCGATTCTTAACCACTGCGCCACCAGGGAAGCCCCTGTATCAGCCTTAACTGCAAAACTGATGACGACCTGTTACCCAGAGGTGTAATGACATGCTTTAATCCTGTACATGAGTCCTGTATAAGGTACGTTAACACATACCCATAGAAGTATGTAACTCATAAGTAAATAGACACTATTGGGTTATGCATTCAACATTTTATCACTGGTAAGATGTACAATCAAAAAAGAGTGGAAACCAGTGTCCTAAGGACTGGACTGGCTAGGGTTACTATGCTGTCCCAATAGAGTTAAGTAGTCCCACTTTTCTGTTACTCTGTGGTAACTTTGTTCTGAATGAAGCAGCTGAGATACTTTACAGAAAGATTACTGTTACCAAGAGCAAACCTTTAAGTCCTTTACAGTTTATTAAGCTTTCACATATGCTCTTACCTGATCCCACGACCACTTAATATCATTACTAGTTGGTCCAATAGTATCCAGTAACAGTTTCTTGGGAGCATTCATAAACAAGAGCTGTGTTTACTATTAGTATAAACAAACATTAGCTCTGAAGCAAATGAGAGGAGAAATATTTTAAAGACTTAAACATTAACCTAAGGCAACTGAGGCACAAAAGAATATGTTTTAGAAGAGCTAACCCTCCACAAAAAAAGCTGGGAAACCACTCATCAAGAATTATTATTCAGGGGCTTCCCTGGTGGCACAGTGGTTAAGAATCTGCCTGCCAATGCAGGGGATACGGGTTCGAGCCCTGGTCCGGAAAGATCCCACATGCCGCGGAGCAACTAAGCCCGTGCGCCACAACTACTGAGCCTGTGCTCTAGAGCCCACGAGCCACAACTACTGAAGCCCACGTGCCACAACTACTTAAGCCCGTGCACCTACAGCCCGTGCTCCGCAACGAGAAGCCACCACAATGAGAAGCCTCTGCACTGCAAGGAACAGTAGCCCCATTCTCCACAACTAGAGAAAGCCCACGTGCAGCAATGAAGACCCAACGCAGCCAATGAATGAATGAATGAATGAGCGAATAAATAAATAAAAGAATTATTATTCAAAAGGACAGACACTCTCTCTTTCCCTGCCAGC